ATAAGAAAGGGAGATTAATGGCAACAGTAGGCACACTGGGAGAACAGCAGTTGGGCCAGCATGTTTTGATGTCTAGATAGGGAAAGGTCAGAGAAATAGAGCGTATGGACTTCATTTAGAAGTGTGGGTAGAGTTAGAAAAAGGCTGTGCATGACAGCGCCCCTAGAAATTCTCTCCTCCCCATCCCTCAACTTTTGAAATAGAGCAAGCTTATCATTATAATCTAAATACAATGAAAGTATACAAAAGAGTAATCATGCTTATATTATGAGTTATTCTTACAACAAGTACAGCATGGGAGATACAAATCATACGCAGTCGAGGAGTTCAGAAAAAGATAAAGGGGAAGTGGTTTCTTCTCTAGGGAAAAGCTTTTCTGTGTTCATACATCTTGCAAATACACGATGAGGAATTATTTTCTTGGAGTGTTGCCTTCTTTTCAGCCTATTTGGTCTTTGCATCTCTAGGAACTACATAGCACAGTAAAAGCTTCAGCACTTCCAGCCCACATTGCCTAATGCACAATCTCTTACGAATCTCACATGTGCATTTTTACCAACATCCATACTGATGTTTCAGTTTACTCACTTCAGTCAGATCACAAGAACTTTGTTAACACTAGGCTAGAAATGAATGCCAACACTAGCTCAGCTGAACCAGCAGCTATTTTTTTCAATACAGACAAGGCCACAGCAGAGACACAAAACCCTCCCTGCTGGGTTAAGAAAAGCTCTCAGCTAAACTTGACTCTTTATCTAAATGTACGGGTGGAGGAAAGTGCATTTCAAGAATTACCTGCACTGGGAAGACTGCAAGATTTGATCTATGGTTCCCAAAACTGAACGGGTCAGGGAATTGAAGTGGTCCCTAAGTGAGTTGTAACTCACTTGTGTTTAACCCTGGTTAAGGTGCAGCTCATTATCTGTAAGGATAGCATCTTTCATAAAATAGACAAGGTATGCATTCAGTTGGTTCTGTGCATCAATATGCCATTCTTTCTCTGGACACAAGAAATATTGGAACAGCTCTAATGCAAGGGGCCAATTCAACCCCAGAAGCATTCCCTTTTCATGCTTACTGGATATGCTTTGACTATACTATTAAAAAATATATATACATAGAATCAGGGTTTGCAGTTTTAACAGGAAATAAATGAAAACTGAAAAACAAACCCACACCACAGTCAAGTTGAGGATTAAAAAAATAACTACACACTGCCCTCTGGCTCATGTACTGCTACCACAGAGAGCTTGCCTGTAATCCTCACTGCAGACTGCCGGGACTGAGAACAGGTCTGTTATCAAAAGTTCTCCTAAGCCTTTTTGACACAGTTAGTACTAGCAAGCAAAGTTAATTCCTACATCACCTGGTGAAGGAGCTGGCCAACTTTAGAGACAGGAGAATCAAGACAGACTGCAGAGTCTTGCCCCTGATCCAGCGGGCAATGACAGTTGTAGCACCACAACTAGCTCAACAAATATTAAAATAATTTTTTGAGATGTTCACACAAAAATAATGGGTGTTAAATAAGCAACAATTTTCTCTGGTGAGCAAGCTGTAGCCCCCAGCAAGGCATGCCATTCATGCAGTAGTCTAATACACTGAAAAGAAAAAGCCTGTTGTTTACAGTGTGTAAACCCAGTTTTTATTGACAAAATGTTGCGGGCTGACAGTCCTACACTGCTTCACTGCATTTCAATGCACTGTAGTGCCTTACAGTGAAGCTTCGCTTTGCTATAATTGGGTTCAACTGTGCTAATCCCCTTGGAATGCAGCAATTAATACTTATTTAGTGATAATCGCTGCATTCCAGTGGGATTAGTCTCTGCCCTGCACTTTTGCCAGCACTGCAAACGGAGAGCTGGAAAGAAGACAGTGTCTAACTACAGGACTTGCTTTGCAGCTCCCAACAGGTAGACAAGAGAAGTTGGTCTTGCTACAACTGTTAGCGGCTGCAATTGCAAATAGAACTTACCTACACAAAGCAGATAAGCAAGCATTTCTTTATTCCAGCACTGAGGAACATGGGGGATGGCTCCACCAAAGACGTGTTCATCGACAGGTACAAAGCACGACATATTTATACACTTTTTCAGCAGTCATGGTTATATAAGATCAACAAAATTCATAAAGTTTAGTTTGACCTTAATAATGATTAGATTTCAGTTACCTCACCTTACCTATATTCCTATTCTACAGAAATCATCGGTCAACTTTACTGATTGATTTTAATAGAATCAGGGGAGGGTGATAATTAGCATATTCATGTTATTTCCTGGAAACCGTTATCATATGCAAATGTCTCCAACGCATGCGCGGTTATGTTGGACGGGGGTCCTCTGGTGGTTGTCGATAGTCTTCCTCACTGTGTCCGCTGACTGAACTCCATCCTTGCACATGCTCATTTCATCTTTGGCCAATGCTCATTTCTTCTTTGGCTGATCTTCCAAACCAAACCCAGTGTCTTCTGGTACCTATTGTTTTGACTCAAGATCCATAACCAGTATCCATTGTTTTAATTCAGAGTCCATAGCAATTTGTACAGTGTTCAAAGCACACACCATACTAGCTACCTATTCCTAAGGGCCTTAGTGTGCTTTATATTCTCATAGCTGCTATAACTGCATTTTAAATTCAAAATCATACTCTAAACTAAAATCAAACTAATATTCTAAGATTCAAGCTATTTTATTAAGGTAACTGCAACACAACTGCTCCCCTCTGTGTATGAAAATACTACTTTTTCAAGAAAAAAAACACTTGACTGTTACTACTCTTTGCACCTGCATTGTGCAAATAGAAACCCTGCCACATCCAACAAGAAAAAAACAAAACAAAACAGACACCTGTGCAGTACCATGCAAACACAGCCATGAGTGCATATTTCCTATGGGAGACAATAAACAGGCCCTGATGCAGTGTAAGAACAAATCGCTGTTTATTATTTTGGGGGGGTTTGTCACTAGCAGTTCCCTGTACCTGCTAGGGTCTTAAAATTTTCAGTGCAACATGGGTTTTGGAAGCCTATTAAGGAGATGTTACTAGAAAGTTAAAATGCACCCTCTCTGAATACTCAGTTTTGAGACTACTGAATCTGTAATGTCTGATTCCTTCCTCCCCAGTGAAGCCTTTATGATCTGCTCTTGAATTATTTTTTCTGTTTTGCTTTTTTAATGCACTACAACACTGCTTTTTCTTTAGGCTAGTCAAGCTACTCTCTTCTCATATCATTAACATTTTCACCTGTTAACCACAGATGAATTTCCCTGATTACATTACAGTATACGTAGAAAAATTATGGGACTTTACCACCAAACACACATTCTGGAAATGCTGTTTTTAATTATAGAGCATCTTCAGTACTTTCTTGCATGGCTGTACAGACTATAATTGATCGATCGGTAAGGTTATGTCTTTCTTGAATATAAAAGTACTGTGAAGCCAGATTTTAAGGCCTATGACAAGTATCTTCATTCCCTTTATTTCCTTTCCCTCTTCACCTCTAACACACACCTCAATTTTCAAAAGTTCACCTGAGGGAAAACTTAAAGGAACTAAAATTCATTTAAGCACTTAAATTAAAAAATCCAAGTCATGCTTGATTAGGCAACTGGTTTTAGCTAAATGACAACAGAAAGAACTACGTGAGGTTCTTCTAATAATATACTGCAGGTTTTGTGCAATTATTTCTCTATTTCTGATCTCTAAACAATTGCTTCGTTTCAATCTAGAAGCAGTTACTTTTTAATACTGGGTGGTGTTTAATAGGTTGCACTGGCATAAAACATTATAGAAACACAAAATATCTTCAATGTTTTCACATAAATATACACGCTTACATATGCAACTACATAGACACTACCCACTATTTCTTCAAAGTCTTTCTTCATGTTTCCACACGCACACACATAACCTTTACATGGCTTTGTCAAGTTACTGTTTGTAGCAACCAGAAGTCATCTTGTTTTTAAAAAAGCATTTCCTTCCTCTAAGGGTACTGAGATCATTTACAAGTATTTTATATCAATCCCACAAACTGCTGTCTATTTACACTTTAATAGGTATGTGGAAAGAAAAAAAAAAAAGTAAGGGTACAAAATGATTAAAGGTTACAGCCTGGGTGAGTTGCAATAGCAAAAATAACACGAGGTAGTTCTAGACCTGTATGGGTACACTGACAATATTACTGAGGTTGAGGGAGAGACTCCCCTCTCTCAACAAGACCCGCAGCAGTTGTTGGATCTGCCACCACAAGTGTGCCATTTCTTTTGTTTATACTGGAGAAATTATATGCAAAAGTAAGCCTGACTGCCACAGGAATCAGGACAAAGAATAACGAAGACAAATAACTCAGAACAATCACTACAGCTATCAGATTCTTTGAGTAAAACACCCACTAAATAATACAAAATTTCACCACTTCAGGTACTAACTACATACCCAGTCTCAGTCAACCATAAGACTCTAGCAGTTTTATGACCAGCACAATTAAGGAATTTTTTAAAAGCATTACTTTTGTACCTTTAACGTACATGAACAGGGTTTTATCTCTTTTGCTCCCAATTATCATGACATCTACAGCAGCTTTGTGGCGTCAGGGTCAGACTATCTGTTCTAAATTTAAATCCAACTGGGTAAAAAAAATCTAACAAAAGCAAGTGCCTAGACAACATATTACCTAAGCCTTGTTTCCATTGAAAACCAGGCTACAAAGAACATTAACCACTATACTCAGAACAAGTCTTACACTCTAACCTTATAACACTAGAATATTCAACACAGGAACTCTGAGGAAGCCTCTAGGCACAAAATTTCTTAAGTCAAAAAGCCCTGGGAGCAACTCCCAAGAGTTTTGCACGAGAAGCTCATGGACTGAGCTTCCCCGCAAGGACAATACAATTGTTGGGGAGCACCAAGAGCCAGTTGCTCCACCAGAGCAGGGGAGCTGGCAAGGCCTACAGGGCAGCAGCCTTGCACCAAAACACACAGTCCCACAGTACCTGGGCAGAAGAACAGGTTAGGCAGCAGCAACCAGGGTCAAACGCAGCTGAAGCAAGTTTGAGGTCAAGTCAGTGGGACTAGGCAAGCGGTGATGGTCTGAGCTCCAGCACAGCCCCCAGAAAAAAGGGGAAGCTTAGAAGCTGGCTCTTCCCAGCTCCGCTTCACCCCCAAACACCTGCACACAGTCCGGGCTGGCCTCCAGCACAGGCAGCCCAAGCCACGGGAGAAGGGCTAAGGGGGCACACAGACAGTCCAATGAGATTAATTAGCTGTTGGAAATTACAAATCAGAATCAGGTGGTTTAGTTCAGCCAACAATAAGCCTAAGCCAAAGCAGCGTCATGCTACCAAGCACCTTCACTTTGGGTTCTTATAGTTAGTAAGTACTGAGAGGAATAAACACTATTGGGTCTGGAGGTAGCTGCTCCCAGTTGAAGCTCTGTGGCATTCTATACCTGTCTCCATTTCCCTTACTAGGGTTTTTTAATTTAAAAACCTTTAAATCATTCTCATGGATATTACTTCTGAGCACTCCATAGCACAAAATGATTACAAAATACAAAAAATGATGAATGTTTCTTTTTAGCAGCTAGCAGGCTGCTGTGTTTATGGAGGAAAGCATTCATAATGTAAAGCACTGTAGAAGAAGAATTTGTTCATATCATGCCCCCTGTCATGTGCTTTTCTAGCATCTTTGAGTTATGATGAATTCAATAACCAATTTTAAGTATTAAACATTTAACAATCAACCTGAATGTAAGTCTATGGCACCCTCTTGTGTTCAACAATAATATAACAGTTTATTTGATCTAGAATCTCTCTAGATTCAGTATGGTATTATTTGGGAAAAACCTGTTGAAAAGTAATTGATCCATTAAGTTAGGATTACTACTTTTTGTCTTAATCTAATACTCTGATTGAGCTACCTGTGTTTTATTGTGCAGATCATAGATGCAACATTAAATAGGTAAGAAATTAATTCCAGATAGAAGTCAGTAAAGGTTTAAACTAATTAATACCTGATATATATAAAATCTCTTCTGTAAAAATGTAGCACATTGCAAGAATGTATTGTCTTACATTAGAACACAAGAAAGAAATTGAAAATCAAGAAGTAGAAACAAAAACATGTCAATGAGCAAGATTAGTAGACAAAGGAAAAACATAACTATATCGCTAGAGAGACAGGCTGAGATTATCCTAATTAGATTCCCAGCTAACATCCTGTAACTTAGTGAGGTACCTAAGGTTATCCCATGTCTCAGATTCTTATCTACGAATGGGGAAGCTTAACTTCCTGGATACAGAGAATGACTTCATTCCAATATGCTCAGTTATGCCGAGTATGTCACAGTATGGGATACACAGTCAGAAGTCAAAACCCTGACTCATTGTTTACAGCTGTATTAATTTCTTATACTCAGCCTCTTTATTCTAAGCATCAGTATTACTGCTGTATATTAGGAAAAAAGGACACATGGTCACAAGTGAATTCCTGAATGAGCCTAATACAACAAAGGTGAGCACAGGGAGAAAAAAAGGTAAGAAAAAAGTATGACAAAAGCTAATTACTTTTGAGTTAGTGATACTAGCATTTACATGCCTATTACTAAGGGAAAAAAGCCAGATGTTTAGCATGATTGATACCCTGGTCTGCTTTACGTTCCACTTCTACATACAAAAATCTCTTAGCCAAGTGTTCAATTTGATGCATAGATACAACTCCAGATAGTTTTCCCTCTGTGTAACCCCCAAATCCAGCTCTGTAGATGTAGCTTAACCATGACCGTTCACCACTTTCCACAAGAAATACCTGGCTGGGGTTGCCTCAACTTTCAAATGTAAAGAGATTTGGATGATGCAAGATTGTTCCAATAAAATACAGCAGCATTACAAAACTGTTTAAGGTGCATTGTTCCCAATAAAAGCCCTTCCACTCCCCATCAGAAAAGACTTGGGAATTGATAATAACAGGACCATCAAACCCAACACCGCAACCAGAAACAATACAAAGGAAAAGTTTTATAGTTCGCCAAACCCTCAAATGACAGTGATTCATTCAAAGGTGTTGTACTGGTTTTGGCTGCACTGATTTTTTTCATAGTAGATTGTTTGGGGCTAGGTTTTGAATTTGTGATGAAAACAGTGTTGATAACAGTTGAATGTTTTAGTTACTGTTTATACAATGTCAAGACTTTTGCTGCTTCTCACTCTGGCACACCAGCCAGGAGTCTGGAGTGCATGAGGAGATGGGAGGGGACACAAGCAGGGCAGCTGACTTCAGTTGACTGAAGGGATATTCCATACCATCTGATGTCATGCCCAGCCTGGGAATGTGGGGGAAGAAGGAAGTGGGGTCATTTGGAGTGATGGCATTTGTTTTCCCAAGTACCTGTTAACACATGATGGACTCTGGGGATAACTGCACATGCCTGCTGACGATACAGTCATTTAGAAATATAGAAGCCCTAGCCCAAAGAAATAATCAGATAATCCTTGTGTTCATTTTCATAAACATAACTTATTATTTTATGTTCCATTTCACAATATTAGACACAAAAAAGAAATAAAGCATGAAGATCCTTATTTCATCCAAGGAGGGAAAGCCAAGTGTAATAGGGGTGCTTCACTATTTATTTTAGCAAGCATAAAAGACTCCAGAGCAACAATAAAAATAACTCTGAAGAGAAGGTGGTTGTGTGAAAGACAACGTGAGAGTAGTATTCTTGAACATGCAATAAATAACACTCAACACCACTTGTCAAAAAACATTTTAATTTTGACAAAAGCCCAACATCATCAATCTCATACATCAAAAGTTACAAAATGACATGTACTGCATTCAGGTGTCCCCATGGTAAGGATTAAGTCTGTATCAGAGGATCATTTGAGTTTCCACAATTGTTACACCTTATATAAAAATATTTTTCAATTTCCTATTTAATGTCAGTGCTACATGTTCAACATGAATTGTTTCCATATGGTAAGGTTTTTTTTTTGATCCTAAATTAATTTTCAAATAGTAGACCAGAATGGGATTGATACAGTAATAAGTACCTTTTTCCCCTTGCAGGAAATGAAAACTTAATAAGTTATATCAAAAATACTTTCAAAAATCATTCCAGTATTTGAGAATAGTAATGATAAAACAACACTAAGATATAGAGATGATTTGACATGACAAATTCCACTGTTCTAGGTATGGCTCTACCTCTAAGGAGTCCAAATTCTCACATTCTTTACTCTTGTCAACTAGGTAATATTTGCTCATTGTAAAATCAACTTAATTGCTCCTAACTGCTTTTGGATATTTGTGAACTTAGCACATGGGAGATGAGGGAGGATGTAAAAAGGTGTCAATTTATTTTTTTGTAGGTGTGTGTGGCTTATTTTAGAGAATTAATTATGCACACCTTTCATTAATTTTCATTGTCTCTAAATCATGAATCATCTGTGTCATACTGAATTGCTTCTTTCTCACTTCTGGCTTTCTAACTCAAAATTGCTGTGTAAGGCTTCCAAAACCAAAAGTCTGCTCAGTTCTACTGCTGAGGGTAATAAAAGCTGACACATTGCCATTTGATCAGACTAACAAAGCTGAAGGTTTCAGAATCCTAACCAAAAAACATTTTCCCTTTACAAGATTCTCATTCAATTTACAAGCCACTATTCTTATACTAAAGTCAGATACTTTAGGCTTTACCACACTGTTTCTTTTAAAGACTGGGCATAACACCACTGCCAGCTTAGCAATAACATTCAATATAGGTAACAAAATAGAAAAATAGCTCAAATAAGTGAGTGTATTACTGTGCAAAGAAAATTCTTAACAGAATTTGGGAACTCATCGTTTGCCATTGTAATACAAGCAATGCTTTCCATTGCACAGACAGCTGAGTCACCCCTTAACTTTGCCATAAAGTTCTAAACTAAACTGGTATTAGAAATAAAATTGGAGAGTGGTCACAAACAGGTATTGTTCAACTAAGGCATTGGGAGGCTTACTGGAAATGGAAGGATTAGTCCCTTTCTAAACACAGCATTTCTGAATGCAGACTGTCAGGCAGACTTCTTGCCATAATCACATTCGATGAATAGAATTTAGTTATGGCTTATGCACAAAGGTTTTTGAGTATGACATGATTCAAGCTGTGCTAGTTAGAGAGAATTTACGTTTGCTTCAGAAGGGTTATACAAGCTCATTAACATTACAAGGTGTTTGATTTTTTGCATTATTAATTCAGCTCCACAATACATAGAAAAAAATAAACCTTTCATGAAGCAGCCAAGGTAATTCATTCGTTTATCAGCATCACCAAGGATCTTCTTCCACCTACAATGAGTAAGAATAAGAGTGAAACTGAATACTATGTGTTGCCTGCACCAAAATGTATTTGAGAGTTTTGAAGACTTAGTTTTATGTAGACAATAGAACATAATTTCTCTATACTTCAATACCGTAATGATAGATTCAAAAGAAATTGTTTTGAAAATATGAAGCGATATTGCTGCAATTCCATTAATACAGCTTCATAAATGCTGAATAATCTCACTACTTTTAACTTTTAGATCAAAACATCATCTGTCTTCCAATTAATTCAGAGGACAGTGACTCTGTCCACTCTACAGGAGTCCTTCCTTGCAAGAAATTGCATTTAAGCTGAAGTACAAGTGCAGTTAGTCATAGATAGTTCTTTAGATACTACATTTGGTATCATTAAGTAGGTGGACCCCCTGTTCAAACAAATCTTTTGATTTCAGACACTGCATCCGGTGGACTACTTAAGGAAAAAGACATAAATGTGTATAAAAACCAGAGACAGGTAATATATACTGTTAACAGTAAGGAGAAGTTCTACAGGTGCAAAACATAATGAGTTAAGTACTTACTAAGGTTTGACGCTGTAATATTCTTCTGGTGTCACAATTTTCAATCCACCAAAGTAGTCCAGGACCCAAATATTAGTGATATTGAATTTGGCAAAGAACCAATCGTGATCCTTAGGCCAACTTTCCATTTCAGGGTGGCGACTGAATAATGCTTTTTTCGCTAAGCCAGCTTCTGAATCATTCACCTAAACAATAACCAGCAAAATATTAGTCAGATACAGTCATGTGAAGACAAATTTTAGCTAAAAACCCCACTGCTGACTACAGTGTGGTCTTCTTGGTTTATCCCATGTCTTGTCCCAAAGGACTCATTACTGTGGCAGAGTCCACTCATCTTCAGTGTAGTATAAAACTGCACACGAGACAACAGAAAAACTCCAAGGTATTTGATTTTAATATTATATCAAAAAGGTGCTTTTAAAGTAAGCATGAGCAAGGAAGTACTTCATCAACATAAGAATAAATCGAATAAATCTTTCAACAAATGACAAAACAGAGAAGTATGGATTCTTGCTGAATTATTACAATATAGTGCTTTAGGTGTAATTTTACCTCCTCTGCACCTGCTCACTCAGACACAAACAGATCCAACCACGTTGAGACATGTGCAAATGCATGCATGCACACACACACACACACACACACAGTATTATATAACAGATTCCACAGAGAAGGGAAGCTAAAATGTGTGACAGCGCTTAATATACAATGTGCAAATTTTTAAAGGGTTAAATCAACAAGTCAGAGCTCTGGGTATGGTACAACAGAAACTAATTAAAATAAACTATTCCATTATTGATGAGAAACTCATGAAATCTATTCAAGGATTGCTGGACTGTCATGTACAAATACCTGAGGTGTGAAAACATCAAATAAGAATTTAGATTATCATATAAGAGAGTAATGATGATTGGTCCTCTTCCTCAATCATTATCTTCAATAATGGGATTAAGAAGTTCAATGAATAACACATGCAGTTCTAAATTCCTTTTACGGGACACCAAAGTACTGGTGCACAAAAGAAAACTGCCCTGGCAGCAATGCCACCAGATAATACAATGCACTTTTTCTGTCTCTAATACCTGTAACTTTATAGCTTGGGTTAATGTTTACTTCAATACAGTTTCAGAAATGCGTATGTCACACTGTACAGACCAAAGAATTTAACTGAGCAAAAGAGATGGAAAAACCTTCCTACTTCATTCACAAGAGAATTGTCTTTAAGACTTCTTAGTTTCAAATCAGGTCTAGAGGAATGAGGGAGACTTTCTTCAGTACAATACTGTCCTCCCAAGTTCCTTGCTAAAGACATACCAACAGAGCTCCTGCAAAAGTCAAGGGGTAGCTTCATTTTCCTCACAGAAACTATGAGCTAGCCTTCTGCTATCATGGCACACGTCTCTTCACATACTTTTGCACAGAAATTCTAACCTTTCTCTTACCCAACCACTAAACAATACTATTTGATGCACACAATCTTGTCCAGTGTCAATTTTCAGCTGCTTACCTTTACAATACTCCCACAGAAGATTATGTGGGCACAGAGGGGATTCTGGGGATCATATCTGTGCTTCTTGCAGTAAGGAGTCTGTGCCAGAGACACAGTTAAGGAGGCATTTGAATTGATCTGAAATTCAAGTAGTAAGATAAGAGGTTTATGTTCTTTTGCAAGAAAAAAGTCATACCCGCCATATTTTCAGCTCTTAATGCTTTATTCAGCTCAGTATTACCAGTAAAAAGAACAAAGCTGTCACCATCTTTTCCTAACAAAACAGCACTTCCTAAAACTCTGAATTCAATATACAGTCTAGCTATCCTACATCCAACTGAGGCTATATCCCAATTTACATACATGCAGGACAGGGCAGAAAACAATGAGATACAGTGAACTTCATTAAGTTAATTCTGGTGGAAGGACAAAGGGTTACTGAAAGATAACTGAGTTTCACAACTGTTGATAAAATTAGTTAAACCAAACCCAAACAAACAATGCCCCCCCCTCCAAAACAAGCCTCCCACCTGCCCCTAAACTCATCAGCTCTTCGTAAATTTAAAGTGAATTTTAAAAGTTGGGTTTAAAAAAATCCTGACTATTCATGACACCTAACTTGAAGAATTAAAGAATATGTATCCGATTGTTTTTCTAAAACTAATTTGGTAAATACAGCTTGAAGAGTATTGGTGCAAAACAGGACTGCCTACTGTGGCATGTCACATACATTCATTATCTCCCATTAAGTTCATTATCTCCCAGCAAAGAAAGTTCATGCACTTTGAAAAGTGTCATTAAAAGAGCTCCTCTCAAAAAGAAACCCCAAAGTCACTTCAACACTAGGCAGAGTACCACTGAACTGATAAAACAGGAGCAACCACCTGACAGATAGGAAGTTGCTTAACTGCAAAACAGCTGACTCATGATTATTCAGCACTATCTCCTATCACACATGTCCCTTACACGTGACTGTCACAGTCAAATGTTTCTGCCCTGTAACAGCAGATTAAGGATCTGCTGAAGGAGCCTTCCGAAGGAAAATGCTCATTAGCAGTTTACACCATGATTTTTACATTATTCTGAAAACAAGCTGTAGCTGGGGTGAAGGTACTACAGAAGATAAATTAGGCTTCCTACCACACCTAGATAAATAATTAAACTATTTTAATGCAACAAACTAAAACCTGACAGGGAGCAAACAGAAAAGTTTGACAGTAAAACAAAGTCTGAAAAATTTCCACTATTTCAGTTCTGTGTCTGTTTTACTAATACTGTAACAGCTACTAGAACAAAAACATTTTCTAATAAAGGAGACATAAGATCGCTATTTCCCTAACTTTTTTGGCCAGCTCTCTCCTGACCATAGCCAAGGAGATGATCAGACACAAGGCCAATTACATGCCCTCAGAGCCTCAGCCTGCCAGTCTGCTGCATTTTGTTGTGTGCTTGGCTTTACAGTAAACCCCAGAGATTTAATTACTATTCCTGTCCCACAGTGACCATTCCCAGTGCTTTTGATCACTGTGGTGAATTTCTCCTTGCTTAAATATTCATTCTGTGGCCCCTCATTTCTGTGGTCAGCGCTGCTGGAAGCTTCAGCAGCTTCCTCTACCAGACTGCCGTTTCGTGATTCTTGGGACGATGACCAGAAGGAAATTCTTAGGGGGGCTTCTAAGCATCAACGTAGACAGCACTGCTTACGTTTAGATGTTCAAGGGCTAATAACTGTCCCCAGGGTTCACAAATGCGGCGATATCCACCGAACAGGCAGTTCGAGGCATTCCACTGCCTTCAGAAAAACGCTGGTGTAAACCCCGACTGATACAGAAGAAATTCCGACCACCGCCTGCTCCCGAGATGAAAAAGCGCAGGCCACGGAGAAAAATGTGACACTACAGTAGCAACGCGCGCGCTTGTAAGTCTCCAACCTCCTTTACTAGGGTCACTAGTTATACCTGCGGCTGGCGCACTCCGGTGCCGGAGCTGATTTTGCAGGAAAACACCGCCCCCCACCACATCCCCCCCGCCCGCCCACGGGGGCAAAACCCCGCCCCACCGTTGCCCGACGCGGCCCTGCCCGCGGCCCGGCGGCTCCCGCTCACCTCCAGGTCCTGCACGGAGATCTCCATGTCGGTGAGGTAAAGGTAGGGGACGCCGCTGCCGCCGAACGGCCCGGGGGGCCCGTCGCTGAGGGAGAAGATGTTGGCGAACGGGCGGCCGCGCAGCCCCTCCTGCGTGGAGAGGGTGGCCAGCGCGCCCCAGTCGCAGTTGTGCAGCACGAAGCGCGCCATGCGGGCAGCCTCCTCCGGCGGAGGGATGGCCCCGCCAGCCGCCGCCAGCAGCAGCCCCATCCCGAGGAGGGACAGCCCCGCCATCCCGCACAAGCTGCCGACCGCCACAAACTGCCAGCCGCCGCCAGCGCGGCCCCGCCTGCTCCCCGCGGGGGGCGGGGCCCCTCTCTTCTCCGCCAATCGGAACAGCCCCGCCCCGCCCCGCTTCACCAATAAGGGCACGCCGGTGAAGACCTCGCGGCTTGGAAATTAGCCAGCTCCCTGTCAGCCAATGGGCTCGCGACGCCCCGCTCGCCTCAGCCAATGAGAACCGCCTGGAGGCGGGGACAAGTCCCCCACTGCTTTCGCCGGGTTGTAAACATCCCTGACCGCCGCTGCCTCGCCGCCGAGAGGGGAGGGGAAGTGGGGCGGAGCCGCCGGTAGCCCGGCGGCCAATGAAAAGCCTCCTCAGAACTTCCTGCCAATCATGTGACGCCGGCCGCCGGCACGAGCGGCGCGTGCGGGTGGGGGGGGGGGCGGGCGGAGGCGCTGAGGGGAGGTGGCCCCGCCCCGCCCCGCCCGGCCCCGCCCCGCTGGCTCGCAGCCGTGACGTGCTGCGAGGCGCGAGCGGCGGCGGCGGCCCGCGCGGTGCCCGGCCGCCCCCGTCCCCTGGCGCTGCCCCCCGCTTGTCGCGCCGGGGGAGCCCGTCAGGCCCCCCCGAGGGTGGCGGTGGCGGTGGCGCTGTCGGCCCCGCTCTCCCCGCTGTATCGGCCTCGGAGGGTGGCTCGGCCCTCCGTGGGGGAAACCCCGGCGTTCGGTTACAGCGAGCGGCGGCTGCCCGGAACGGGCTTGGACTGTAACGGGCAGAGAGAGGATCGTCTGCCGCTAGCCATAGCTTGAGCCTTACTGATACCTGCGAACTGAGATGATTAGAAAATACGTATTTGTGGAATAACCTTATCAGTTTGAGCTGTTCTAACCGTTGTGCTTCAGCACAAATACTAATCTTTTGAGGAGTAGTTAGAGTAACAGAAGGATGAGGAACTCAAAAATAAACTGACTTGAGGCAGTTTGGCAAAAGGGTCAGGGCAAAGAAACATAAAGATAAGGAAGCTGCAAATTAGCAACAAAACCAGACCAGGCCAGCCTTGGAGAACAAGATGTACGTGACCACAGGACTGAGTTTGTGCAGAAGGGTCAGCTGGCAGACACTGTGAAGAAGACTGCAAGCCTTCATCTGAAGACCCCCGACGACCACCTGAAGACTCCAACAGACACACGCAAGAGACATTAACATACGCTAATGAGTTCCCAGCGAAGTTATGAATATGATAAAAATATGATTAAAATGTCATGAATATGTACAATTAAGGTAGTATAAATGCTTGTTGATTTTGTCTTCACACACATACAGTAGGAGGAGCTCTCCCCTGCGTGTCCGGTGCTGTAACAAGGAATGCCTGCTTTCTAAAACTCCAAAATTGAGTCTCAGAGAGTGAATTAATTACTGCTTTCTGGTAACACCACCACTTGCAAACTGCAGGATGTATGTCAAGGCCATCTCTTCTACAAGACCTGGTTTTGATAGATGAACAATCTCCTGGCCTTCGGTGTGTTACTTACAAAAATAAATGCTGAGGTATTCATCACCATGTGCTCAGTCATAATGATTTGTATGAAGAAATGTTTTCAGCTGGGGTAATGTTGAGACTTGACTCAACTTTTACTAAAAGGTGGTGGATTTCCATTCCACTTCAATCTTACCAAGTATGTCTACACTACCCACACAGCAACGTTGCACAGAGAAACCCAAACTAACTTAATGACTACCACTGGCCCCCAGGTGCTCCACAGCACCCATAGCTTATAGCAGGCCAGAGGAATCATTTTGTTGGGCTGAATTCAGGAAGGAAAATACACCCCACATCCATTCCCTGCTATTTATGTACTGTCCTCTTGTGTACTGGCAGAACAAAGTGATTTTTCCTCCACTATTTCTCTGGCCTGCCAAGTGTGGGCAGAGGGCCTGGCTTTCCCTTCCGCTGCTGCCCTCTCCTGGCCATGCTCAGGAGAAACCTGGGGTTTGCTGCAACTAGAAAACCAAACCAAACCAAACCAAACCAAACCAAACAAACAAACAACAACAAAACAAAACAAAAAAACCTCAAGCACTCAGCTCGGGTAGGTGAGAAGCTCCTTCTCCAGCAACAGAGTAATACAAGCAGCCTTGTTTGTGATACAGGACTAGTGACGTTTCAGGGCAGCGTCCGAAGGAGAAAAGTGGCAAGAAAATGAGTGAGGCATGAAAGAAAAGACTGTGTAAAAATTGTCTTTATGTATATGGGATTATGCAATATATTTAGATGAGGGGCAGGAGTGGAATGTGTTGAAGGGGAAAAACAGAGGAGGCATTCTGCAGGAGTGAAAAAAGTATGGAAGAAAGGGACAAAAATGGTCTAGAGGAAATGGTGTAGGAAAGAGAAGGGGATGAGGAAGACAAAATGCAACAAACTCTTTTCATTAGAGATTTTGCTAGCTAACCCAGACAGAGACATTAGAGCTTCTGCTCTTCTCTGCCCACCAACATGTGCGTGTATACACAGAAACTGCTTGTTTCTCTCCATTTTCATGTAGTCCTGCCCTCAGAGCCTGGGGCAGGGAGCGTCAGTATTTACCTGATGCAGTCAAAGGGATGAGTGGTAGAGGGAAGGTGGGAGGGGAGGGATGAGTGTGTGAATGATTTTACTGGGGAACGGGAGAGCGTGACAGGGAGCAGACAGGAGGGATTGGTGGGGTCAGCACAGGAAAGAAGGGATGCCGTGGAGAGTATGTGGAAGTAACAACATGTGTCACAGGGAAAAACAAAAAGTATAGAAAGGAAAGAAGATAAAGGGGATATGGGAAGCAGAGCTGGCGATTCTTTTTTCTTTTATTTTGTTTCAGAAAAAGAAAATGCAGAAAGGCGGAAAGTTTTTATAATCTGGAGTTTAGCTGTATGTATTAGCTGAACGTGGCTGTCCCTCCTTCGCCAGGCAGGGTGTGTGTTACCGCAGCCTCACAGCCCCTGTGGCAGGAGAGTCAAAGCGAACCTCGCAGAGAGCGTGGAGGATCATCCCACTCTCCCCCTGCCACCGCTGGGACCGCACAGCGGGATCTCAGGGGCCAAGAGAAAACGACCCATCCAAACAAAGCCTGCCAAGTTCTCCTCGCTTCCCCCTGCCCCTCCAGCCTTGTGGCATGTCCGCAGCCGTCCCTGTCCGCAGCCGGCGAGGGGTGCTGCTGCCCAGCCCCAGCCGGCCTGCAGGACTTGGGCTGATGAGTCTGGTGGGAATTCAGCGCTAAACAGGATTTATGGAAGCAAATAGTGTTCTGCTACGGAGAAGAGGATTTATTAGGCTGAGTAGTTTCTGCAGTGGGCAGTGCGCACCGGCGTACTGACTGACTTGCATACTGCACTGAATGAAGGGGTCTTCTTTTGGTGCCCTCTTTCTTGGATGGGTAGCGTGGAGTGAACTTGAAGGGTGAGGGATAAGGTCTTTAACTCCTTCAGCTTGCTCTGGAAGGATGTGTTCTCTGAAGACAATCTTCAGGCTCTCACTTCCTCAGCTAGATCTCAGAGAAAGGAGAAGGATTCTCTCTTGTGGTGCAATATGTCCAGGGGCTCCCAGCATCCTTGCAAAACACAGTCAAGAAAGTATTGCTAACCACTAGTTCTCTTTTTCAACTCATGTGCTTATTTACATTAAAAAGACCCATGGTAAATAGACAGGAATATCTCACCATAGTTTGAGCTAGTTTACTCCCTCCCAGAGCTGGCCAGTTCATGGAACAATCTTAATTTCAGTGTGGTTTACATGCCATGGGCCTCAGGCTGAATCTGGGGGCTGTGTCTCCGGAGAAAGTATATTTTAGCCAGAAAGTGGGCAAGGTCTCCATCCTGGCTAGTGTATCATCATGCTCTGTCTGCCCTCTTCCTAGCTGGTTTTGCCCTGAGCCAGCTCTCTCTTTAGATAGCATGGTTGTTGATGGGCTGGGCAAGGTTTCTCTTCAGACACACAGTCTAGCTATGCACTGGGCCAGGCTTCCTGTCTCGATCATGCAGACTGTCCATGAACAGAAACCTTTCTTTGTCCAGATAACACTTGCAGGCTGTGCAGTCTCCCCATGTGTAGTGCTTGATTTCTGAGCCAAGCCAGCTCTCCGCACCCAAATGACAGCCAGAGTGATTAAAGTCACTTGCCGCTGCGTTTGACAGAGGCGACTGACCTGTGAGTCAGCTCTGGCAAAAGCTGAAGTACTCAGTGCTTTGAAGTGCCAACGTTCAGTGCCACATGAGACCCACCATGCAAATTGTTTCTAAAAATGTTGGTTAGATATCCTCCTGAGGAGATACCAGCCCTGCTGAACAATGCCATGCTACCGCTATTAGGAAATGGCACACAACACAGCCCTTTGCTCAACAGAAAAAGGTGTTGCATGGTTGTGCGTAATGCATTTATTTGTTCTCATCCTCAAAGTTCCCAAATTAACTTGGTTGGGAATTCAGCTTCTGACCCTTTTATCCGTGTATTCTTTAAAAGATAGGTAAAATGAATATAGCACTGGCCTGGTATTGAGCTAAAAGTCCGTTTAACTTTTTTTGACAGCCACTACACAGGCAGCTGCAAGGCAAGCTTCCTCTGTGCATAACCTGTTAGGGATCAGAAATGTTCCATTTTCAGTCAGAAAATCTTGCTGTTCAGTCAGAGCTTGGGCAGCATGCTGAGGAAGCTGGTGCGAGGGCTGGCTGTGACACTGCTTTCTAGGACGTTAAGAGATGGGCAGTAGGACTGGCCTGAGAACAGTGTAATCAAAACCATGGTTGTATCCAGCACAGATACCTGGAGCTGTGTCAGCACCTGTGTTCTGACCGTAACTTTTTGTTTGTTTATATTAAGCCTTGTGTATTAAAACTAGTAGCTGGTAAAGGACTTGTTCAGTCTAAAAGCAAGCTGTCAATGGCTGATGCTGGATAACATTTGTCCCATCACTATATTAATATAACGGGATGCAGCCATGCCTCTTAATACTCCAGCTCAATTTGTTCTCTGAAGTCAGGCGGAGCAGCAGTGAAAGAAGAGCTCTCCAAAGAAATGCAAGTGCAGCAAGAGATGACACCAGCTGCCTGTACAGCACCCACCAGCCCCAAGTGGCCTGGTACGAGCAAGGGTGGTCTGCCTCAGCGCGATCTCGTTGCTGTGAGCGGAGGCACTCAGGCAAAGCACCGCAGGTGAAACGCTCCCTGTGCGGTACAGCATTTTCCTAACTTTACTCTGCTTAGGGAAAGGCTTTTGCCCAGAGCCTGGGAGTTAAGAAGCCTGGTTAATCTGAACTGTGATGTTACCACTCAGGGGCAGGATGACAGTCAGGAACACGTGAAATGGTTCAATCTTTCAGTTAATCTCTATCACCTACTTTTTTATATGGCCACCGCCCAACACACAGTCTCGCACTCCCTGTCCGATACAGCTTAGCAAGACTCACTTATAACCGTGTCCTTTTGTTTAATTCAAGCCTCTCCGGTAACGGGGCTTTCCCATTCACATCGGTTCCCAGGGGTGCGCAGTGCCTGGCACGCCGGGCCGTGGGTACGCGCGGGCACTGGCACGTGTGTGCGCGTGTGTGCACGCGGGTGTGTGCGCTCTGAGGCATGCTTCGCGGCAGCTGCAGAATCAGAGCAAAAAACATCAATGGTACAAAGTGTTCCAACTGACTTCATTTCCTGCTGATAACTCCCTGAAGAGGAGGGTGAGGCTTAGCGGCCGCAGTGTTAGTTTGATGCTGAGGGGCGAGGGCAGGGTTGGCGGGAGCAGATACTTCAGAACACCGTTAGCAGAATGGTGGGTTCAAAAAGCCAGTTTCCCATATAGTAAACGCTGTTCACGTTCCCTTCCTGTCAGCTTGCCCTTGTCAGAGGAGCTGATGTGCAAACCCAACCCAAAACAGGATGTTGGCTTTTAGAGTTGATTGATCTTTGAAATGCAAATGCTTTTTTCCTGTGGTTACTTTATCCCCCTTTTTTTTCAGTTGAGAATTGAGTTGCTTGAGTGGGAACAAGAAGGGTTGAGACCCCATTTTAAGGGGGTCAGAAGCCCAACATGGTAACAGCTACTGGTTAATAGTATGAATTCTGGAAAATTATGTGGATAGCATCAGCCAAAGCCAGACAGAACAGACAGAACAATCTCAGATACTGGCACTGGCAGGTGAGCTCTACTAAACCCTCAACAAATGCCTTAACAAAGTACAGCGATTCAATCTATCTTGCAGAGACCCACAGCTCTCTCCACCCTGACAAACATGCCTTCCCAGATTTGACACCTACACAGACACAACCAAATGAGATAGCCGCGTGGACACAAATATCAAAGTTTCAGATGCTCTCAAAAGCTTTCTTTCCTGAGTGGTCTCTGAACAAAGAGTTGCCATATCCCTGCATCTCCTTTCTGTTGATCTTGTAACCTCTGGCAGCCCCACTGTCCATACTTCATAGCCAAAATGCAAGAGGCCAGCAAATATTACACATGGTGTTCCTCAGCATGGCAGAACTACTTAAGCTACCTCTGTTGCAGGCACGCCAGGACGAGGGATTTCCTTGAACCTCTCCCCCCCATGCTGCCTGTAGCAGGAGTACCAGTCATTTGGCCTGAAGCGAACTTGCTGCTTTGGCCTCACATGTCTTGAAAAGGATTAGGGGTCCGTAACATTTTCTCATTCAAATGAAATTTCCCCTTAGAGTCTGTTTTAGTGGCACTTGTGATGACTGCGATTTTCTCCTCCTGCGCAGAACAGATGTAGAAAACTTTTTTTGCATATACGAACAAGTTAGTCTCATAGACACTGATATATCCCAGAAGTTCTGTAAACAGAGATACAGAGAGATGCAGAGTCATACTCTAAAATATCTCACATTCCTACTTGCATGGACACATCACGTAAAACACCCAGTTCCTCAGTATAACCTCCCTTAATAATGTTTGTTACAAGGTTCTTGCAGTTAAAGCATGTGGGTTGTTTGTTTCAGATTTTCTAGTGTTTTTCAGTCCAGAAACAAGGAAGTCTAGAGCAAACCACATCTTATGTCTTCCTGTCTGGAGAAAAACATACACCATTTTTCTGTTCTTTCTCTCCTTGCTCCTTCATGAAGAAAGATTAGCATTAATAAACTAAGTTCTGTGTCCCATGATCAGAGCAATGGCATCTGGGAATCCTGCTGGCAGAAAAGATGTGCCTTGTGGCAAGATACATGGGAACAGAAATAAATAGAGTGAAGAATTGTGGTAGGGCAGCTGCCGCTACCTTTGCTTTATTAGTATGGGTAAAGCGATACTGTCTCAGCCTAGCAGTTTCCTTTTCTGTAGACCTAAGCAAAAAGTTTTCTCCACAGAGTACAACCCCTGAAAGCAGAAAGAAAATACTGAAACAGACCCTGAGCGGCATGAAGCAACCACTGGAGGTATGTGATTTTGAAGGTCTGTTACATGGCAGACATCTTGAAAACGACACTTGTGACCAATGCCCACAGTGAAATTCCTGAGCATGAAATCCTCCTCCTGTCCCGACAGCGGGCAAAGCACGGGCAGCCCGAGCACCCTGCCCTCCCCCCTCCCCCTGCTTCTCAGTTCTGCTCCCATCCCTTCTCCCACCATACCATTTTCAGGACTTTAAGAAATCAATAGGATTTCCAATCAAGAAGGAATTTAATTTTTTCGTATCTTTTAGATTTTTAATTATTTTCTTGTATCTATAGTTGCAGCATCTTCTGGTTTCTTACAGCAGAGCGATTTCAACTAATCCAGTGTTTCAGTAACAGAAGATTAATTAGTCCTCTTGCCCTATCTCCAGATTGCAGCAACTCAGCCTATCATTCTTTTGGCTAAGGACTGAGTAACTATTGTATACTGAATCTGGGAGATAATGAGATCATTCTTTCAATCTGCTAAATCAGAAGTCCTACAGCATGCAGTACGACAACAGTTAACTATACTGTAAGAACAACTATGTTGAGAGGATTTATCGGTAACAATAATCTGGTATATCATGATGGTCACATTTAAATCCATTCCGGAATGTTTTCCACCATCGCCAGCAGGGACTTGTGAAACACTGCAAAGCAAAAGTATGCATTTCTTTCAGAAAAGATGCTTTAACTCTCTTCTGCCCCCGAGGTATCATCCCAAAATGACGACATGACATTGTGTCACTTTGCAGCTGCATGCAAGGCAAGGAAGCCAGCAGAAGACAAAGGGAGTGTTTCCAAATTCCTGTGCACCACCCTGCTCTCAAGAGGTGGGGACTGAAATTCTTGAGAAGGAGCATATGCAACAGTTGCTAAAAGACATGTCTAGTTTACAACACTGTGATCAGAATGGAAAAGGAAACTGTACCAAAACATTCTTTAGGCTTATTTTTTCCCACCTGAGTTTTTCTACCATGACAGAAGCTTCTGAATTCCAGTACACAAGTCTTTCCTTCACTGTGAAGGGAAAGAACATCCTCCACTGTCTGACCTGGTAGCGTGAGACACACATTCAGGGTGGAGAGAGCTAGTCCTGCTTTACAGCTAGCCAGTGACACCTTGCATGAGGACCTTCTGCTTGTGCCCACATTTTTGCAGCACCCTTCACAGTGGAGCCCCGATCTCTCCTTGGGGAATCACCTGGCAGCACAGTGCTGCTTCTATTATTGTCATCCCTGGGAGTCTCAGCCATGCACCAGGACTCCAGAGCCTTAAATTCTGTTCAAATGCAATAATCACCTTTGCACTGCTTCTCTTCTGCCTCTCTAACCACTCTAAAGACACCCCACTGCGGACTGAAATTACCTAAAAGTGTAAAGGAAGAGAGGAGGGAAGCTGCAGTTAGAGGAAAAAAAGATCCTCCTCACAAATAAACAAGGAAGGGATCCTGCAGACTTGGAGAGAGAAGCACGGACAGGGGAGAGACCCAGGCAGAGACATGGGGGGGAGCAACTGCAAGCAATGGAGAGAAATAGAGGCAAAACGGAGCTGGCAGGGTGAGATAAAGATAAGGTGATAGAAAATACGAAGGGGAGAAAGAAAGGAAGGAAGAAAATGCACATGCGGGGTCCCCAAGTTTGGGCACAGCAGCAGTTTGCTGCTTGTTGTCTCATGAGCCCAGCACTCCGGGAAGGACACTATCTGTTTAGATTTGTGTCTAAATTTAAACCCCGATTGCCTTGCCTCCCCCTCCTCTCCCCTCCCTCCCTTCCTCTCACCCACCCGCCCTTCTTCCTTGTTCGTAGTGCAGGGCCGCTCGCTGGGCTCTGTCAGTTTTCAAGCTGAGCAGGGGCTTGGATAGTACATACCCTCCACAGCAGCACGATTTTGCTCTGGCTCGGCTGAAGTTTTCCCACAGATAAGAGGGAAAGGGGTGGGGAAGAAAGATTGCCCTGAGGACACCTCTCTCTTGCAGGACATGGAGGTAAAGAAAACTTTTATTTCCACTAGCTTGTGACTGGCTCCTCGGTCTGCATTAGCTCCACCTTGCAAAGCAATTTCTCACTAAAGGCAGCTCGAAATATCTCTTTGCCGAGATTCAGATAAATGTCTTCCCCCCCCCCACCCCCACCCCAGCCCCTGCCATGCACCTCGGAATATTTTGCAGGTTTTACTCCAGATTTGGAAAGTAGGGGATGGTGTGGGGAGAAATTACATCTATGATAGGGGAACGAGGAAGGACTGCCATTTACTCTTTTAGTATCTGAGGTGGGAAAGAGAGTTACAATTTAAAAGGTACCATTTTGAATGATTGTTTTAAAAAATCAGTAGAAATGGGGACATAAGGAGAAGTCAACAAACCGTACAGGATTAGTAGGCTCCTTGGGGTTGATTCCTACCCAGCTCATGCAGCAGCAGCTGTGATTTGGACCCTCAGCGGTGTGTCCCCCCGTTCCACGTGGATTGGGCGGTCTCACTTTCGTTATCAATAGAGCATTTTAGTTCATGAAAGAGGACCCGAGAACCACTGCTTCGGCAAGGTGAATGAGTAGCACACCCCCAGAGAGTTTCCTGTGCCTTTTTCTCCATTCTGCGTGTCCTGTGCTTCTGGAGAGCTGGAGCTCTTGTCTCTGGGTGAGCACACGGCTGGTGGGCAGGAGTCAGGCTTCCCTGGCATTTAAATCCAAGCCTTCTCCTGTGTAGCACCCTCTTGTGCAAGGCAGTTCACCTCCCCTTGTCTCTTTCCCCATTCATACAAAATGCAAGCGATGGTGCTTGCTTTGCTTGTGTCAGACTGGACCTGCTAGCTTTTCAAATGGTTGCTTAAGTGACAAAGGAAAAAAAAATATATTTTTAGGAGGGTCACAGGAGATAGAAAGGCGATTACAACATTGGCAAAACCTCAAATGATGAAAGAGGGCTTTTGGTATTGCTCTCAGCTAAACACAGATCTTACCAAACACTTCATATTTTCTCCCCACAGAAGCTTTTTTCTGCATCGGTGCAGCCCCAACAGCAGGGGACATGCAACAAAGCCAGGGAACAGTGTGCCTGAGGCACCAGTACAATTTTTCTTTGAACATTTCCAGTGCATAGCTCAGCTGGGCAGTTCTGACAATGCCCAGGTGCTAACATTGCAGTCCTTGTTATCTGTGCTGGCCTGCCCCACAGGCAAGGGCTAGAGATCAGGCACGTTCATTACAAGAAATGTCCTCTAAAGAGATTTTGGTGTAGAGAAAGACCAAGCAGTGATCAAACCAACTCAGCACAGACTACATGTGGCATGACAAATATATAATTTTATAAGGGTTTTCAGATTTGAGAGAGCTTGGATCAGTGACTGTTAACATTTGTTTTATTCTTTTTCGCTATATAGTATTCTGTGATGTCTCAGAGCAGAGGGGGAGTTGAGCTCTTAATTTGTTGTAACTGCTGTGCGCAGTAAGCTGCATATGGAGAAAAGACTAAGTTAGGGCCAAAGCAGATATTTTGTCATGTTGAGGAGACTGTCCCCACCACACCCTCTCCTCTCCACACACAGAGGACTGCACCCCTCTGGTATTTTCTGTTGTCTGCCGCAGTGGTGTTTCCGAGTAGAAAGGGACAGACCTGCCATTTCCTTTTTGGGAGACACGTGTGACACATACGGCAGGTCTGACAGTCAGGAAGCTTCTCTGAAGTATTTAACCTATGACTTTCCTGCTCTTGATTCTCTCCATTTACCTCTATTTCCTACTCTTTCCACATAACCTTGTTTATTGATCATTCGTAGTTTGCTGCATCCATTCTTAATTTTAAAACACCTTAACTCCCAAGACATTTTTAAAGTAACACATTTGGTTTTCCCTTCCTGCCCCAACCCTCCAAAAAGGTGGTTAATGTCCCAAAGGTAAGAAGATATTAGACCAACATAGAGCCAAGAGCAAAGGCTTGAGTTCCCACCTGCCAATTCTCTGCTCTGTTTCTTCCTGAGAGCTTTTTACAGGCAACATGAGCAGGACCCAGAGACTCACTACAGCTTTTTGCTTTAAAAAACAGACTTAATGGTCCTGTGCAACAGGAACGAGAAGTTCTGTCATTTCCCCATTTGCTTCATCAGTGATGGGCAGAGTCGCTCTGTGCTTTCCTGCTGGCATAACTGGCAAGCTCTTTGCTCTAGTGGGACATATGAGGATTACCAGTATTAGAGAAAAAAGGGCAGAGGGCTGACCTAGCCAGCTGATTTCCATCACAACTCTGGCAGAAAGACTCTATTTTTGAAAGACCCACAGAAGCAAGATAGCTGTGATCACTTTCTTAGAGTGGTTAGTGTGGTTTTGCTGCTCCTTAGGGACTAGTACCTACAGTCTTAGGCATTCTGCTGTCAGGAATGTGCTACATTGAAAGCAGTGACTGTAACCATTTAAGTTCTGAAGAAGTAGGAAAGGGCAGCAAAACCTCATCCTTGCAGTTCATGTAAGTTTGGGAGTCTGCCGATTTTCAATTTTGTTGTTTTTTTGTTTTGTTTTGTTTTGTTTTGTTTTGTTTTGTTTTTCCGTGAAGACCAACTTCTTGATGCAAGATAGATTTGAGAATCAGTTTTCTTTCTGGTGTTACAACTGATGAAAGGAACTTGAAATCACGAAGCTTATATCACAGACAGTTAACATGAGGAGTTCATATCAAAAATGTGTACAGCTGGCCCTGGTGAAAGCTAAGCCACTTGTAAAAAAGCAGCCACTAAGCCTTTGCATTCATGGTACAAAAAGGATCAGAAATTACTGTGTTGCTATCTTCGTTTACATCTGCAGAGTTGGTCGAAGCTGTCAAATTCCCATAGCTATACCAAACCTTGCTGCAGGTGCTGTGAGTTAAGACATCCACTGAAAGTACTTGCAGCTTCCTGCAGCCCATATTCAACAGCAGTCATGGCATTTCTCTTCCCAGCCTCTCGGTAGGAGCCTGGGAGCATGGAGGCATTTGAGCTTTGGTTGCACAGCAAGGGGAAGCAGTCCAAGACTGAGTTTCACTTTGGTGGCTCCCTATGGTGCAATGGGTTCCCTAAGCTGTGAAGGTGCAGCAGACAGGTTTATTTTGGAAAGGTTCACCTCTTCTTTGTGCCTACCAATAGATTTCTTTCTGTGACTTCTCCATTCCCATGTCTCTTTTCTGCAACTAGCTCCTGCTAAATACTCATGTTGCCTGTTGCTACACTGGCTCAGGAGAGGGAAAGCTTCTCCAAGGCTGAGAGCAGTTCTCTGCTCAGTTTGCCACTTCCCTTCTAGGCAACCTCCTGGACGTTGCTCCAGCCCCAAGCTGTGCTCTCCCTACACCACAATGTCCTCATCTGGAACATCTAGGGAGTGATGGGGCCACTGCTCTTTTCAGTAAAGCTCCCTTCTGTGTCAGGTGAGGAAACCACAGAGAGGCCCCAGGTCCTGCCCCACTCTAGTGAGCAGCCGAGCAGCGTGGAAAAAAATCACTCAGAGTTGTCTGTTCCCTCTCTCAGCATGAGGCTGCAGAAGCCTCCTGGGGTTCAAACACATCCCCTCCCTCAGCAGGCGAGGTCAGAGCCATTTGTTCCTTTGGGCTGTGGTCAGCCAGACATCACAACTGAGCACATTTCCAGGTCCAGTATCCCAATTGCTGCACCCTTCCAGGAGCCACAGGGAATGATGCCCTCGTCCAAACCATGGGGCAGCTTGCTTTCAGCATAGGCACTGACCCTGTCCATAGGAAAACTGCATTAGGGATTAAGTGTGACCTGTCACCCAGGAGGACTGAAGAGGGGGTGGAGGAAAGGGTACTTGGTACTGTGCAGATGAGGGGGTGGAAATCTGTAACGATTATGGTCCTCAGAGCAGCAGGACAGCGAGCCATGCAGAGGTGAGCTAGGCTGAGCGAGGTCTCTGCCCACCCTTGCAGTTGTGAAGCCAAGATTGAGTACAGGCATTATGCCATGGTTAGCTCTGCCAGGAAACAATTTCCCTTTCTCAGGAAGCTCTGCTGCTTGGCTTTCATTCCAAAACTTTAAGCATTCCTTTTCCACTCTTCTTTTTTCCTTTTGCTTAACAGAACATTTTAACCTCGAATACACTTGTTTTCAGTGTTTCCTCCCAAACTCATCAAAATGACATGTTTGCGCAGTGTCTGTGTCGATAAGAGTATTTAAATATACTAGAAGAGGTACCATATGACCCCATTTTCCTCCTCAGATCTGGGCAGATTTAGGACCTGCCTGACAGTAAATAGCATGCCTGCAGCAGAGGATCCTGGAAAGAATTAGTTTCACCAGAGTTTCACATCCCAGTGACTGGATGAGACCAACCTCTTGAAGGACAGCAAGGAACAAAACCAAACCCATGGGCTGTGCTGTGATCCCTTCTTGTACCTAGAAGGGATCCCAGAGTAAATGTTTGCAGAATTCAAGCTCTTCCTGTGTCACTGGAGAGGGGCAATTCTTCTGAAGCCCTCCTCTCCCTCACTCCTCATTTTAACCTTTGGTTGTCTGAGTATTCCAGGTCACAGTGATAGCATTTTGGAAAAACCTTCTTTCGTGTACTCCACAGTCTAACTGTCAGGATGTGTTACTGTTGAGCAGCATATTATGAATGCTTTCTCATACATTCCCAGGATCTGCTTATCTGAAGAACAGGGGAAAACATCAGCATTGCTTTATCAATAGGTGCTGCTAGGAAACTGCTGGTTTTCATCATGGAAATGACCAAGCCCATACAAACCAGGGGTGGGTTTCCTTTCTGTTTCCATGTGGTTGGTTAACAGTTGTAGAGAGGTGGATGCTCCTTTTCTTAAAACACCAACTCCACAGCCTGAATTTGGGATCTGAGATGGCAGCTGTATCCAGCATCAGGAGAACCTGTTCAGAGGACCTCTCTGTTTTACTGGTGAAGCCTTCTTGCTACCTGTAGGTGCTATAATATGACAGAGACACAGCCCGCCTTGGTGACTTCCAGACAATTATATGTCTTCAGCAGTTTACAACACAGCATGCATAAGGATAAATTCGGTCTAGAGACAGGAGATCTGTTGTGTAAGGAGAAGTTATTATTGCACAGTTGCTTCACACCTAGTTATTGTCAGAGGTATGGGGCATTTTATTCATATGGAGTCCTGCATAGACACTGATTTAAGTCTCACTGCATCCAAGCCACAATGTATCCAGCTATGAGTTTTACACCAGAAACACTTTTACACTAACATCAAGTCTGAGGCATACCTTTATGATATCTTATTGTCAGTATATGGGTCCCGGTAACGTACTGACAAGGATGAGGCTTATCTGCCTCATTAGTGCCAAATGAAGTTTTCAACTGCCAGAAAGAAAGAAAAAAAATCATTAGACCAAATTCTTGTCAGATATGACCACATCACTTGCTGAAATCAAAGACCAGACCTCAGTTGCCAGATTGGCAGCTGGTGTAGATGCATGCCCTTTTTCTTTTGTTGTTCAGC